GGTTTTTTTTTTTTTTTTGTACCGGGAATTGAACTTGGACTGAGCTAAATCCCCTGCCCTCTTCATACCGTTTTATTGAGGTTGAATTTGTTGGGTTTCATTTTGTTCCTTTTTTGTGTGTGTGCTGGACATTAAACCCAAGACTTTTTATGCAAGATAGGCAAGAACTCTACCAGTGAGCTATATCCCTAGCCTAGGTTTCTTTTTTTATTTTGAAACAGGGTATTGCTAAGTTATTGAATTGTCCTTGCTATTTAGATTGAATTTGTTTTGTTTGGTTTGATACTGGGGATTGAACTCCGGACCTCACACTTGCAAGGCAGTCAGTGGAACCACTGAGCTAAATTCCTGGCTTCAGATTGAATTTGATTGGAGATTTTTTTTTTTTTTTTTTGAGACAGGATCTCACTGCTAGTTCGGACTGGCCTTGAACTCACTGTGTAGTCCAGGCTGGCCTGGAGTTTATGGTAGTCCTCCTCCCTCAGCCTCTGTGTACTGAGATTACAGGTGTGTACCACCATGCCCAGCAGCTGAATTGTATTCTGAATTGTTAGTAAAACTGACATTCTGGTTCTAATTCAGGCATATCTTCCAGAGTCCTTTATGTGGTGATCATTTTGGAGTTTAATGACGCACAGGATCAAACTTTAGGGACAAACCTACCAATATCGAAGACTTAGTTTTTCATTTCCTCACCAGTTGATTTTGGACCAATCACTTGTGTTTCTTGAAGCTACACTGTTTTGTCATTAAAAATGATTATTATCTTTTTTTCTTTTTGTGGTACCAGGGATTGAACTTGTGTCCTTGTGCTTGTGAGGCAGGTGGCAGAACCACTGAGCTAAATCCCCAGCCCAACAGTGATTTTTATCTTCTGTGAAGTGTTATTATAAGAGCACACACACACACACACACACACACACACACACACACGCAAACACACACACACTGTTGTTCCCAAGCACCGCGTCCCCAAGAAGATCACCACTCATGTATGCAACACACAAGAGCACTTTATTAACACAGCATGCAGTGGGTCTGCCAATCCGAGATTGGAGCGCCCGAAAAGCAATTTCAAGCCACTTTTATAGGGTTTGGGATACATTAGTCTTAGTAACAAGCTTTACTTCTATTATGATTGGTTAGTTTTTACATTTAAATCCTATTGGCTGTTGTTGGGGTGGTGAGGTATCCGGGGTGGCCTAGTTTCAAGGTTGTTACAGGTGGCTGAGTTACAAGGTTGCTATGGGTGGTGGAGTTTCAAGGATGCCAGATGGTCTTATCTAATGGTTCTATACATTCTTTTGTTTTCCCAGGAACTAGTTTGCTTTGCTCAGTAGTCACAAGACAATTGGGTTCATTTTTAGGTCAGGCTCAGTATGAAATGGAGCCTTTTATTACAATATGGAGTTGCTGTGGCCTCCACAACACAAGCGCCCAGTGTACCATTTTTTGTGGAGTTCATATGTAACAGCATTAAGAGCTAACGTTTTATGACTGCTAATGCTTGTTGGTTATTTTTTGTTTGTTTGTTTTTTTGAGACAGGGTTTCACTATGTGGTTGAGACTGAATTGGAACTCACTATGTAGCCCAGGCTGGTCTCCAACTCACAGCGATCCTTCTGTCTCAGCCTCCTGAGTGCTGGGATTACAGGTGTGTGTCATGACGCCCAGCTGCTTGTTGATTATTGATTAATGATTGATGTTGATAGGAATCCAGATAATCCTGTTTAAAGAAGAATGGGTGTTACCACTGTACACTTAGACATAAAAGCTACCCTGATGTGTCCTTAGAATCAGAGAAGAGAGATCATGCATATTTGACCTAGACTTAACGAGATGGATGTTATCAATTTGTGCCATCGTTAATACTGCTGCTGCTATTTTTCAGCCAGACTGCTTTCAATCTTGCAATCTCCCTGTGAAACACAGAGTTCAGCATCTGGGCCTGAATAACCACACTGTGATTTCATTTGTTAAGGCCTTAAGTCAACCGAAAGGAGTATTTTATGCTGTCTCTGCTTTGGGGAGATGTGTTATGTAATCTCACTTATGACTAGGCAAATTGAGTCATGTTTCTCAGGGCTTATGTTTCCTTACCTTTATGTTTACAAGCATAATGAGGAAAATTTTTAAGATATTATTCTCAGAAAGTTGATGCCATTTGTCTTAGAAGTTAGGTTATCTTTAACTTCCTCTACTCTGTTACTTTCAGTTAGTTTTTCTAGCTCGTTTTGGTGTATGCTTTTTGTTCAGACATTTCTTTTTGTATTTCTCTAATAAAATTGTTTTGATTTATTATCAGTGTTAATTTACAGAATCAATCTTTTTTGATACCCAGGATCGAATTCAGGTCCTTGCACTTGCAAGTCAGGTGGCAGAATCACTGAACTAAACCCCCAGCCCCAGAATCAATTTTTAACATATTTAAAATTTTGAACTTTTTGCCAGGCGTGGTGGCTCATGCCAGTAATCCCAGCCCTCGGGAGGCTGAGGCAGGAGGATCGCTGTGAGTTCGAGACCAGCCTGGGGTACATAGTGAGTTCCAGGTCAGTCTCAACTACATAGTGAGACCCTGTCTCAAAAAAAAAAAAAAAAAATTGAACTTTTATCCTAATCATTCTGGAATTTTGACAAAGTCTAAATCCTCAAAATTGCTTTCTCTTCTCACTGTGTTTATCTTGAAAATAAATATAAACAGACACATCATAGTCAGATCTAAATTTTTATTTGTTCAATTTCAGAGTGGGAAATGCGACTAAAAACTGAAGGTTCAGCACTTCGACAGGATTTATTGAGGGGATATACTTGCAGTGGGACACACATGGTAGGTTTAATGAAAGGTGTTTTTCATTTTCTACAGAGAAGATTAAGAAATCCATTATAGTGATTCAGGAGATACTTGAGAAATAGGAGTCGCACAAGATGGAGCAGCATCTCTGCAGAGATTCTTTAATAGTGATGAATTTAGGGATATCCAGAGTTAGCGTGAAGCTTAAATGCTTCCCCAAAATGATGTAATTGGACCAACCAAGAACTTATATTTCCTTGTAGGTCTCAAGAGGTCTTCAGAGAGTAAAAAAAAAAAAAAGATGTATATGCCAAGAGTGAGTCCCTAGTTGAACTTTCCTAGAAGGGTGTGCCCATCATATAGGTGAAGGGCATATCAGTATTTTAGTAGTCACGTGAATCTTTCCGGGTACTGTTTAGATACTTATTTTCTGAGTGCTCTGGCAGATGATAAGGAAGATGATAGTATCCTTTCTTAAATGATTTTTCACATATCACCATTTATCAGGTCTTTTTCACATGCTCAGGAGTGTGCTGCAATGTAGGAAAACAGTTTGAATAGACCTAGTTATGGTGATACAAGTTCACATGTAAGAGATGCTAAAGCTATATCATTGGCTTTTTTTTGTTTTTTTGTTTTTTTGAGACAGGGTCTCACTATGTAGTTGAGACTGACCTGGAGCTCACTATGTAGCCCAGGCTGGTCTCGAACTCACAGTGATCCTCCTGCCTCAGCCTCCTGAGTGCTGGGATTACAGGTGTGCACCACCATACCCGGCTTAAAGCCATATCATTGGAAGAGACCCAGATATAATTGGAGAGAATATGGGTAGAGAGATCTCTTAGGACCATTGCATCCTAGAATAGGATATGGGAGACCTTAGAATCTTTTATAGGCGTTGGGGTCACTTCATTGACCAGTAAACATTGGTGGAGAGATATCACTTGTCTCAAACCAACATGTATGTGATGGTCTAGAGCTCGGTGACATTTGAGGATGTGGCTGTGGACTTCACCCAGGATGAGTGGGCTTTACTGGACGTAACACAGAGAAGTAATGCTGGAGAACTACCAGAACCTGACCACAGTAGGTAAGACAGCTACCATTCCTTACGGCTATATAAGAAGCAGAACTTTGTTCCAGAATCTGTCACTTATACTCTGAATATAATAGGAAATAACAGAGATTCTGACCATTAACACCTTTAATCTATGATGGTTATCAGATGTAGTCTAGGATGAAGAGCATCACTCTCATGCTGTTAGAAATATATTCTGATACTCCACCTTTCATACTGAATCTGAACATCTTTATCCATTTCCATTATGTCCTACTTGAAGAAAACTGAAATAGTAGTGGTTCTTAAAAGTGTTTTTAAGCTTAAATGTAGATTTTAAGGATCAAAGATAAATAGCCTTAAATATTTGCAGTTTGAGGTGTGTAGGAATAATTTTAATGCCTTTGTATTAGAAATGTAGCTTTCTAGTTGTATATGGTGGTGCATACCTGCAATCCCAGCATTCTGGGTTGCCGAGGTAGGAGGGTTGCAGGTTTGAGCCCAGCTTGGATAATTTAGTGATTTAATGAGACTTTGTTTCAAAATAAAATTTAAAAAGGACTGGGAATGTGTGAAGGCTCTTGATTTCCAGTATTGCAAAAAAAAAAAAAAAAAATTTCTTTCATGCGAAAATTTGTCTTTTTTTTCACATTACTCTCTTCTAAGAATATATCTTTCCCTGTGTGAAGAACACAAGCTATTGGAACCCAGGCTTATCTCTTGGGTGGAGGGAAAGGTAGAATTGAGATAGTGAAGAAAGGTGTTCTCCAATATAATTGTGTGTGGAAAACATGTTTTGTAATTAACTAGTTCAGTATATTTGGAAATATGAGGAGACATTTCAAAGACCACCTTAAATCTGAAGGCTGAGTCCTTGGACTGTAAGTTTTGGGATGTTTTCAACTTCCATACTCTGTTACTCTATCCAGCCTTTTAAGTGTTCTGCTCTTTTGTACTTTGAGTTGATGGTTTTATTTAGGTAGATGTTTCCTGATTCTATTCCTAATTATATTATTTCTCCTCACCATCACATTTAGTTTTTATAGAAAAAGTTGTTAATAGAGCCAGGGATTTAGCTCAGTGGTTCTGCCGCCTGCCTTGCAAGCACAAGGGCCCAAGTTCAGTCACTGGTACCAAAAACAAAAAACAAAAACAAAACAAAACAAAAAAACAAAGATAAAAAAAGTTGTTAATAAAGTATTGGTGTAAGCTTTTTTTTTTTTTTTTTTTTTTGGCACTGGGGATTGAACTCGGGACCTTGCACTTGCGGTGGCACCACTGAGCTAAATCCCCAGCCCTGTTAATAAAGTATTACATTTTGATCCCACTTTCTTAAAATTGCCAAATTTTAGACATAAGCAAACTGCTTGAATCTATGTTTGGTTTATTTTTTGCATGTTTAGTATGGAAACAAATATAAATGAGTTTTATCATTTTATTTAGTTTAGCATTTTGTTGTGTGAACTCTTTTTTTGTCATTAGTTTATTGGTACATTTTAGGTAAACAGTACAGTTACATTCGTCATTGGGATTCTGTACCTTTACATGACTGGTCTTGGTTCTCATTTTTTCCCCTTGTCCCTGCCTTCCCTTCACCCCCTCCTCGCCTCCCCATTTACAAATATTTTATTTCCATTTTTTCATTTTCTCCGATTTTTTTTTCTTTCCCTTATTACCTTTCTCCTACCCTTCCCACTTTCTCCACACCTTTAGCTCTTTTCTTCGTATTTCACGTTGTCAATTATCTCATTAGGATCTTATGCACTATTATAGTTTGCAAACTCTTATATGTATATATTTTTTCACTTTAGAATGGAAAATGTGCCTTAAAACCAGAGGAACAACATTTCAGCAGGATGTATTTTGGTCAGATACACCAAAGAGGATACAGCAGGTAAGATTCACTAGGATAGTTCAAAGTCTCAGGAAAGATTATGAATTCCATGATGGACATCAACACAAATGAGAGAATTTGAGAGAAGTAGCCTTTTCCCTCAGAGTATGTTATCCCTAGAGAGATGCCTCACACCTGGTGTGAAACTTGGTACTAAGAGTTCCCACAAATACACCTTCTCATATAAGTCTGAAAAAATCTTTTTTTTTGAGACATTGTCTCACTGTATAGTTGAGACTGACCTGAAATTCACTATGTAGCCCAGGCTGGTCTTCAACTCACAGCGATCCTCCTGCCTCAGCCTCCTGAGTGCTGGGATTACAGACGTGCGCCCAGCTTTTTTTTTTTTTAAAGCACTTACATTGCCTGACTTACTTACACTCCCTCCCTCTCTCTCTCTCTTTCTTTCTTTCTGGTACTAGGGATCGAACTTGGGACCTTGCACTTGCGAGGCAGGTGGCAGCACCACTGAGCTAAATCCCCGGCCCCTGAAAAAATTTTAATCCTTATTCATTCCTTAATCAGCAGGCAGAAAGCTCCAGTGGAGAGGAGTTCTATGATTTTAAGCAATCTGGAAAAGTCTTCAGTGAATACATGAGCGCTCGAAATACAGAGAACACTTTAGAGTATAGTCGGTGTGAAAACGATTTCCCTCCACTGCTTGAGAAAATCTCTCCTGAAGAGAAGATTTCTCCCTTGATTCAATGTGAAGTAACCTTCACCCCGACTCCAAACAATGTTTACCAGAGAATATGCACTCAAGAGAAATCCTTTGAATGCATTGGCTGTGGGAAAGCATTTGTTAATCAGTCACAGCTACAGGCCCATGGGAAAACTCACAGTGGAGAAAAGCTCTATGCATGGGAGCAATGTGAGAACGCTTTTAGTCATTCTATGTGCTGTTCTGACTATATTCAAACATACAGTGTAAAAGAACCCTATGAATGTGGAAATTTCTTCACATATTCTTTCTGTCTGAGTAATAAAAAGGAAAATAACACCGGAAAAATTCTATGAATTACTACACCTTTACGAAGTCACAGTAGGGACAAGTCCTATGAATGTAAGGGAATGTGGGAAAGTGTTTGGTAAATCCTCGGTTCTTATGGAACCTATGAGAAGTCAGACGGGAGAGAAACCCTTTAAATGTGCCCAGTGTGGAAAAGCCTTTGCATCTTCCTCATATGTCAGCGCACATTTGAGAACGCACACTGGAGAAAAGCCCTTTGAGGGTACAGTGTGTGGGAGAGCAGTTACACGTTCCTCCTGTCTCCACAGACACGTGCGAACCCACACTGGTGAGAAGCCCTACAAATGTAAGGAGTGTGGGAAAGCCCTCCCTGAGGGCTCATGTCTCACTAAACACTTACGAGTACATGCTGGCGAGAAGCCCTATCAGTGTCAGGCATGGGAGAGAGCAGTAGTTATCCCCCAACTCACTGCACATGTAGAAACTCACACTGGTGAGAAGCCCTTGAAATGTCAGATGTGTGCAAAATCCTTTAGAAACTCCTCATGTCTTAAGAAACACTTTGGAATTCACACTGGAATAAAACCTTACAAGTGCAAGGACTGTGGGAAAGCTTTCAGTGGTTGTACCACACGTTCTGACTCACTGGGGAGAAGCCATGAGTGCACGGAATGTGGGAAAGCCTTCCCTACTTCCTCACACCTTATGGAACATCTTAGAAGTCACACAGGAGGGAAACCTTTCGAATGCGACCAATGTGGGAAAGCCTTTGTTTTGTCCTCATCTCTTAATGTACATCTGAGAACTCACGCTGGAGAGAAGCCCTTTGAGTGTACAGCGCGTGGCAAAGCATTTAGGTGTTCCTCCAACCTTTGCAGTGACATGCGCACACACACTGGGGAGAAACCCTGTGCATGTGAGGACTGTGGGAAAGTCTTCACTGAGCACTTAGGCCTTACTAAGCATTTAAGAAGGCACACTGGGGAGAAGCGCTACGAATGTAAGGAAGTAAGAAAGCCTTTGCTGTTTCTCCATACTTGCGAAACCGTGTAAAGATTCACACTGGATGTAAACTCTTAAGTGGAAAGAAGGTTGGAAAGGCCTCACTCTTTTTTCTCATTTTACTGAACATCCATAATCACTGGAGAAAAACTCTTTGGTTGTAAAGAATAAGGAAAATCCATTAAGAAATATTCATCCCTGCCAGGAGTGGTAGCAAACATCTGTTATCCCTGCTACTTGGGAAGCTGAGGCAGGAGGATTGCAAGTTGGGGGCCAGGCTGAGTAATTTAGGGAGAATTTGTCCCAAAATAAAGTTGAAAGGGCTGAGGGTATGACTTAGTAATAGAGCATTTGCCTCGCATGTACCAGGTCCTGGATTCAATCTTCAGTAGTTCAAACAGGAAACATGAAAGGTTGGGATGACTTTTCTACTTTTCTATCTCTGTTCTCTCTCCTTCCTTCCCTCCATCTCTCGTTCTTTTACTGTTGGAAAAGATCTCCCTACTTTTCTTCTGTTGTGCTATATATAATTTGGATTTCTCATAGAAGAGAAAAAATGCAACATTTAAACTTGTGCTTCTGATTCGTTTCACTGAATGGGGTCTCAGGATGCATCCATTTATATATGAATGACTTGCTTATCTTTTTTTATGGCAGAGTAGCACTCCATTGTGTATAAATACATTTTCTGTTCGTCTGTTGATGGGCATATAGGCCATTTCCAAGATTTAGGTATTATAGACTGCTGGTATAAACATGGGTATGGATATATAACTTATTTTTACTTTTGTTGGATATGGTTTTGATGTGGACTCTAATAAGAAATTATTTCCAAGATAAGTGTCAGTGTCAGATAGTTATTATCCTGTTTTCTTCTAGGAGTTTTCTTGTTTCACAGCCTCAGGTTTAAATCTTTAATCTCTTTACTATGGACTTTTGTGTGTGGTGTAAGAGAGTGGTCCAATTGCATTCTCTTGCATGTGTCTACCCAATTTTTGCATTTTATTTGTATGACTCTCCTTTCCCCCTTATGTATTATTGGTGGTTTTATTGAAAATTAAGTGACTGTATATTTATGAATTTATTTCTAAGCCATTCTTTTCCCTTGTTCTCTTTTTATGCCAATATAATACCCTTTTGATTATTGCAACTGTGTAATATGTTATACCTTCAGTTTTGTTCTTATTCAAGATTCGTTTGACTTTTCAGTCTTTGAGGGTTGCAGTATAAATTGTAGGGTTCTCTCCCTGAACAATCCTGTGGTGGGGCATTGGAATCTTTTTTTTTCTTTGTACTGGAGATTGAACCCAGGACCTTTACACTAAGCTGAATCCCAGTCCTTATAAATTAATTAATTTAAACTTCGGGGCAGGGTCTCAGTTGCTACGTTGCCCACTATGAGCTCAAACTTGAAATCCTCCTGCCTCACCCTCCCAGAATGCTACGATTACAGGCATGTGCTGCCATCCTACCTGCCATTGGAGTCTTGAAAGGGATGACATTAAATATATAGATTCCTTTTCAGTACTGTGAACACTAGCAGTATTCATTCAGACCATAAACGTGGGCTGTCTTTTCACTTTCTTGTTTTTTTTTCATTCATCAGTGTTTTCTGTTTTCAATGTATGGACCTTTCAACCTGCTAATTAAATTTACTCCTATGTGTTTTATTATTTTGAGGTGATTTATTGGAAATAAAGTTATTTTCTTAATTTCTTTTTCTTATCCATTCATAGTGTATTAAGTGATAATTTTTGTATGCTGACAAGTACTACAACTTTTGTGACTTTGTGTTCCAGTGACATTTTTTTCTTCATAGCTTTTAATTTAAAAAAATGTCCTAGGGTGAATAGTATCACTGTCACATTATTAGAAATACATGTCCTGGACTGGTGATGTAGCTCAGTGGTACAGGCTTGCTACACACACATGAGACCTTGGAGTTGATCCCCCACAACACACACAATCACAAAAGTGAATGGTGTTTAAATAAATCAGTGTACCTAACAAAGACTACCTCTGACATACTGTCTGAATATTTCCTATTGGGTCCTGTTTTAACAAGCCTTTCATCCTAGGAAATTTACACCTGTGCATGATATATCTTGCTGCTTTTTTCCCATTTCTCCTCCTTCGACCCCTCTTCCCCTCATTTACAAAAGCTTTGTTTCCATTTCCCGCCTCTTCTTTTTCTCCTTATCCTTTCTTTCCCACCCTTCCCCTCTCCCTTGTTCCCCTTCTCATTTGAACATTTTCTTCCCATTTCCCAATTAACAAGCCTTTCTGCTGAATCTCATCCACTCTGAAGTGGAGGAACACTGGTGTAGTAATTACTCCCCGAGAATGAAAATCTCATAGGGACTGATGTTGTTGCAGCAGAACAGTGCAGCTCAGTGCTGTAGCCTAGTGTTACAGGTCTGAGGAACAGCTGCGCATCACGGCTCTGTGGCAGCTCTGGGTCACAGCTCTCAAAGGTTGAAGACTCACGAATCCAGAGGTCAATAGAAGAGGGGAAAAAAAAAACCCACCAAAAAAAACTTTATTACATCTTGGAGCTCCAGAAATGAGAGCCTCCGTACATAGGGATGTGCAGGGTAGGTGAGCGTGCTCACTGAGGCGGCGGGGGGCAAAGTTACAGGACATTCCTGCGAGCGGGTGGAGCCTAACAAACTTCTTGTGAGGGGGCAGAGTTTAACATTCCTGAACAACATTTAACTTTCATTCCTGAAAGGTCACACAATTCAAACAGTCACAAACCATTTTGATACGTTGGGCAGGAGCCCAGGAACACAAACTTACATTTCTAAAACAAAACATTCTGTGTGAAGGAAAAAAAAATGGAGGCAAGACAAAGGTCTATCTTACTGTGTAGCTCTTCTCTCTCACCATCATTTCCTAGTTGGCTAAAGTTTTAGTGCTTTTTAAATGTATATTTCAACCAGAATATGAGTTTCAGAGTTCAGAGTTAAGTTACCTGTTCAGAGCATAGAAAGCAGGGGTATTTTGCTGTGCAATAGCTTTTTTTTTG